TACTTTTTCAATTTAGACAATAAACCTCTTTTCCTCCTATAAACTAACCAGGGACCTAGTGAGCCTGGGTAATTCTTGCAAAGCACACTGGAGATAAATGTGAAATGCTACCACCAGGAGAGTCATGGAGATAGAGGAAAGAAAGGACAAGTCATGGACTGGATGCTACCACCAGGAGAGTCATGGAGATAGAGGAAAGAAAGGACAAGTCATGGACTGGAGAAAAGAAAAGAAATGGCAGTGAAATTTTACTTTGATAAAGTATGAAGGGATAAAACATTTGATAGCATTGAAATGTATTTTATATAAGTCCCACAAAACCTCTGCTCAACTATTTTGACTTTGAAAGCCTAGCAGAAAGCCTCCAGAACCAAATTTTCTCCTGTATGTCACTCTGCAAATCCTATCCTTCTCTGTGAAGTGGATAAAAGCCTGTAAGTATGGGTTGCTTTGGGGTAGAAAGTCAGCAGAAATAGCAAACACCCTTTGTAAGCACGGCTGGATGAGTGTTGTCAGACAACATCTTCAATAAAAAGTATTCTGTTGCATTTTTTTCCAAGTCTAGATATAGCACAAACTTGGAATATCTTAGTAGAAGCTCTTTTCATTACACAGAGACATCAATGTTAATTACCTCTGTAGAAGTAATAATGTCAGTGTGCCAAAGCACCTGGAACCTCAACTGAAAGCTAAAGCTTCTACCTCCATCAATAAAGTAACTCCAGCCAGGGAAACTGGAGATATACTGGCATAATGAAGTATCACCACTGCCATGGAAATTACATGTTCTCTACCTTCAGTCAATATTAACCCTTTTGAGCGATTCTTCCTCCGCCCCTACTTTGTATCACACACCACTAACGGAGGAACACAGCATTCTGCTACAATCATTCAACTCACCTTCACCTGTGCACCTGAAACCTTTAATCTTTCACGTAAGCTTGGAGTTTGTGTACACTATGTGGCAACGAGAACAAACTCACCAAAAGACCGGTCCTTCTGCAAGACAGGGAGGTAGAATTACCGGGTGAAGGAAAAAGCAAAGCAACTCTTATCTTCAATTATTTGTTTTTCAATAGCCTTTTTCATGCTATCAGTTCCTTCCTTCCACAGATTCACCTACAGCCTGCTATGTAAGCAGTTTGGACAGAGTCTGATTAAATGCTCAGTGTATGATTAGTCCTAAGCACTTTCCATCTTCTGCTGAATACCTTTCATCACTGTGACAAGTGAATGCTTGTGAATACGTGCCAAAGGCAAAAAAAGTTGTACTCATCATTTCCAAACTTTTGTTCACTATAAAGTGGGGAAATGGTCACACTTGGTAACTAAGAAAACAATGCCTTTTTTGCAAAGCTAATCCAGGCAACAGAGAACCACAGAAATGTGCCAACATTCATTGCTTTTAAACAAGCAGCAAGAATATACTTACTTGTAAATCAAATCACTGCCAAACTGGTTTTCTTATCTGAAATGAGTTTTCAAGAAATTTGATCAGTCAACTAGGCTTTCAGTGGCAGAAATTCATTAGGAAAAAACCCTCTTTTTTTGAAAGTCATTATTTTCTTTCTAACAGAAGCCGGTTTTAACACTCACAGAATCTACATAATCATGGAGCCTCATACAGCACATACTCAAGCCATGGCTTTCCCTACTGCTCCAGCACTCCTTCTTTGCAGTGACTGTGCAGATGGCAGCAGGGAGAACAACCCACATCTCCCTGGGAGGGCTGAAGAGCAGTATCAGAGATTTCTAACTGCAATGAATATTTATCATGACAAGATCAGGTGATCAGCTTTTATATATTGCCACTAAGAGAGACTGACAGTACCTAGTACAAGCTCTGCTGTAGGATACCCAAGTAGAGCCTCTTCTATGTTTAGTTTCAAGAGAGAAAGAGGTGCAAGTTTTTAACAAATTTCATGTTCCCAGTCCAAGAACCCATACGCTGGAGCTAGAACAAACTATTTTTTTCAAAGAAATGCAAAGATTTTGCACTGCAAATTTCAGCCATGTTAAATGTACTAATTGCAATTGTGAAATCTTTCAAAGAGAAACTCCTGGCTTTGGACAGATTTTGAGAAATAAAATGGTCTAGTTTTACAATAAATGATTGATCTGCATTTTAAACATTAAAATTCATTTAAAAAGATGATCATCCCTCTACTGGAATATACTGGTCTAGAAGTAATCATGGAATCAGTGCCTCATGAGATCTGCCTTTAGTTATTTCACTTTTTTATGTTTCCTTGCATGTCAAACAATCTCCTGGATAAAACAATCTTTGAAGAGACAGTTTCCTTTTTGAACAATAGGAAATCATGTGAATGACAGGAAGATAAGCCCAATCTACAATGCCAATTACAGTCAGCTACCATCTAGTTAGTACAATCTGGGATGACTGGAATGCAATTCAGCATGTACACTGGAAGTATACATCTGTTCTAGGAAGAGATAAATTGCATTTTAAGCACCCTTGAACAGACTGACTAGCTACACACTGAATAAGAAAAAGGGTCTTTACGATGATTTGCTATGATACAGATGTCTACCACTTAGTCTGCTGAACCACGCTTTTCATCCAACCTGAGGTAAGTCAAGCACAAGGAGAGTGCAAGAAACACTGCTGATGTCTCTGTAGCCATATAAAATTACTAGAAATATGCTTGGTCAATAGTTTTATACATATTTAAATGCAAGATGCATGTTGCAAAAACATGTTAAATTATTTTTCACTTTGGGAAAAATTATACATAAATTGTGTCCATTTTTATGGTACAAGGTTCTAAGTGCCTTTGCTTTGCTCATTTGTATTTAATGTACAAGGCATACAGAATACTCAGCCAAAAGATGCTGGTAAATCACTCAAATTTTCACCTTAGCAAAACAGGTCTAGCAGAAGGAAAGATATCTCTCTACATGAACTAATGAAAAAAAATTACTTGTGCTAAAAGGTTTTGCTAGCTAGAGCATTCTGTATCAAAACTCCCCAAGAAACAACTATGTTTCCATAGTAAGACTAAGAAACAACTGAGTGCTTGTATCTAAATATTATGTACAGTTAAATGAACAAAAAGACACAGATGATTTTGTTGGAAATACACTGATAAAGCCTTATTACTTGAATCTTACAGTATTCATTTGGCCCAGAAACACTTCATATTTTTAGCAGTCATGACAAAATTTGCTACTAAATTGTTGGCAGTAATATATAAAAAGGAGTTGGTTTTGATTATCGGCAATTTAAACTGAAATGTGAAACTAGCAGCATTATAACCTTCTAAACCCCTTATGCCATTATTACGTCTACCATCTTTGATTTAATTTCTTTACTGCAGTTCCTGTACTGGAACTCACAGCTACCAGCTTCTTTGGCTCATCTGTAAAAATTGTTGTGAATGAGATCAAGGAAATTACCCCACACCAGTCCAGGAGCCCTTGCTCAATGTTATGCAATTTTTAAGGAGAAAAATGAGATCAAAGTAAGATTAAGGGGAATTTACCCTTGCAACATGAGGAAAGCTCCAGAGATATTAGTAACATTCCTTGGTCAAAGGAGTTGTTTCTGTGGTGGATATAGCAATAGCATACAGAGACTTGGCCAATTACCCCTGCAACAGTTTCATTAAACAAATCCATTTTCACACAGACCATTTCACCCATTCTTACTAATAAAAATGTTTCTGGTCAATTAATTTTGACTAAACAAATCTGTTTCTACAAACTGCCTAGAAATCTACTTAACACTTCCATCAAAAGTAATACAGTATAATTTCTTTTCTAGTTTTCAATATTCTGAAGATTTCCTTCACACTGAACTAAATTTTTTGCTAAGTAGTAGCACACCTGGGTTCCCCAGTCACAGAAATAAACACTCCTCCTCACCCCAGGAAAAATCAATCCAAAATTAGGTTAAGCAAACTGAGAATTATATATGAAGACAGGAGGAAATATCATCAGTGTTTGATACATATAAACATACGTATCAACACATACACACACATATAAAAATACAAGCACTATTTCACTTCAATAGAGGGTTTAGTACAAGAAAACAGTTCTACAATACAGCATTCAAATTTATAATTCAATGCAGAGGATGTAAAATTTGGGAAATTTTAAGAAATAACTGAAGGCACTAATTTATTATTTTCAGGAAAAGTCTTACTCCTGTTTTTCAGTAATGAATGCAAAGGGTACTTAAACCTGACAGCTCTTCCTTTGATTCAATGCAAGGTCTGCTCGTAGAAGGGAAGCAAAACCTAGCTTGTGGACTCAAAATTACCAGTTGATCAAAGCCTGATATGCAAAGTGATATGTAACACTTAGAATACAAAATTCTTCTGCCCTGAAAAATATGCATAACTGACAGAATTGATATTGGCTCAATTACTTAAACAGAAATGTTCTCTTCTGATGCATTTCATCACTTAGCTTCATACTGACAGTAACTGATGGAATAAAAAAACGTGTTCCACATTAACTATGTACAAACATTTCCTTTAGACTGATTTTTTACCCCTTTTCTCTCTTTCTGGAACTTAATGGATAGGAACTGATAGGAAATGTGTTCACTCATTCTGGTATGGCCACTAGGGAATTAGGAGACATTTTATCTTATTTCTACAGAACTGGGGAGAAGAAACATTCCAACAGTTTTCCTTTAACTTGGCAATTATTAGTACCTGCTTTTTACAGCAGCAATCCATTAAAGCAGGAACAAAAGCAGCACAGTTCTAACAGAAAAAAAGTAGGTCAGGAAAACCCCACACTTACTTCAACTTTTTAAGTTCAACTTGAAAATAAAACTGGAAATGGAAAAAATTTAGATTGGCGTACTAAATGAACCATTGGAATACCTAATATTTTAGTGATACATATCACACATTATGCACAAAATCATCAGCTTGAGTTTGTAAACCATCTTTTGTGCAATTCACATGCTTTTTCGCATTCACATTTACCCTCTGTAGCAATGCATGAAGTAAAGCACAAAGTCATTATGTTTTTAGCATTTTGTTTTATTTTCATCATGGTTTTGCTACACATGGCAGGCATCAATGCATAGTTGAAAAATACCAGTGAATTTGAAATGTACATGAAATACCGGTAAGGAATTGTTAGGCAATTCACCTGTAACAGGCAGGTGTATCTCCCAGGTGACATGGTGTAGCAGGATGCTCTGCCTGGAGTGGGGGTAAAACAACTCCAACAAAGCTTTCCAAAGCTACGGGTGAATGGAGAAGGGGGCTGTCCTGCTGCTTTTGGTGTGGAATAATGCTGAAACTAGCCTGACTCATCAGTCCCAGAGTTAAACGTCCTGATAGTGAGGTGAAGCTGTGGTAGACCTGGTAAAGTACGTGATATAGGACAACCAAGTAATACCACTGATAAACTGATTGAAAGATGCTGAGCTGACACAGCTGACCCAGAAACACATGGCCCAGTTTCCACTTTTTAATTTGAGGATCTTGTAACATCCCCTCTTTCTGGAGTGTGTGTGAAAATTCCTCTCCGGAGTGGGGATGGCCCTCAAGGTTACTCCTCAAGACTGAGAGAACGAGATTTGCTCACAGTCGTTGGTATGGCTGAGTAACATCAATCTCTGCTTAATAATTGCTTTTGCTAGCTTTGACATAATTGCTTCAATAGAACTGCTTTAATATAATAACTTCAATATTGTGTCAAAAGTACTGCACTGCACTATACAGCTACCAATACTCTGTAGTAAATAATTCTGGTTAAGACCTTTTAGTCTAATCGTTATCACAATAAAGAATTTATTTTTATATAAATATTGCCATTCTTAATTCTGTGGGACAAAGCTGTATTAAGGTTCAATTCCACATGTATAATCCTTTAGACATAAACCATTGGCAAAGTCGGGCTAAGACTGGATCCAGCCATACCTAGATGCCTCTCTGAGAAGGAGTTTAGAAAGCAAGAGGGTCCCTTCTGTGCCTCCTGACTCAATGCGGGGGGACTTCTCTAATAAACTTTTTCTGAAGCTCCCACTCTGCCCGTGACACACAGGTGAGTCAAACACTTTTAGTTCTCCTTTGTACTCTACTCTGTCTATGTACAAATTACAGCAATGCATGCAACATCTCTGTTTACTTTGTAAAGTTGCCAGTGTCAGCTATAGTTGCCTGAATGTCAGGTTGAGGTGTGAGACTGCCATGCCTGTTTGGAAGGAGAGGGAAAGAAGTCATGTATTACAAGTGCTTGCTACTTTCCTTAACACATTTCCAAGTGGTGTTCACCCATTGCTGTCGTAGAACTGGTGTAAGAACATGACCAGAAAAAACAGTATTTTGAAACACAGCTAACAATTACTGTAAAAACTCACACAAAAATAGCTAGAAATACAGAGAATGAAAATATGTGGTTTTAAACTACTGAAGACATCCCCATTAATTGATCCTTAAAAATAGCTAGAACAGTAAAGTATCAATCTTAAGGACCATTGGTGGACACATAGTTAGAAAATGCTAGAGCTACAGTCTAAAAGTGAGAAAGTGCAATTCTCCACTTTGTTCCTATATGCATTTCCCTTTGCAACAAACCTGCATAAAGCACAAAATTATACAAATATTATACCATGAAACAAGAATATTGAAAATTTTCTACACGGACTTCAGTGTTCACTCCTTGCACCAAATATATTCATTATTGGCATTCATAGCCTGCAGTTTAAAATACAGGACAGAAGTAAATGAATGAGCAGTGCTTCTCTAGTAAACCATCATGCCTTTGCATAAAAGACAGTTCTTGCTCTGAGGGCCCTAAAGCAAGACATTTCTTACGTTGTTTCTGGAACACTATAAGAGACAGAAATCCATGGCATGAGGATAACCCTTTAAGGAATGTTCTGCTTTTCCAATTTTCTTTCCAAGAAAGAAACCTTTTATTCATTTTATAATAAAGGCTAAACTGTACTGTCAGACAAGTTTGCATTAGCATACATTTCTAACATGAGGAACAAACAGTGCAGAGACTATTCCTTTGGTGGAAAGACACATTTTAAAGGGGTAAAACATTTTCCATAATTAGCATAGTGTGCTGCAAAGAGCCACAGAAGGTCTCTGGTACTGATTAAACCAGTAATCCCAATTAATAATAATAATAATAATAATAATAATAATAATAATAATAATAATAATAATGCATTTTATTTAACAATTATGAGGATGATATTGCACTTAATGGAAAATGCCATTTACAAGTACAGTAAGACAGTAATGTCTTTAAGCAAACACATTTTGAGCAATTTTTATTTTCTTCTATCTTCTCTAAAGCTTATGTTTTACTGTAATAAATGTTTGCCTTCACACAACCCTTAAATATTTACTAAAATTCCTTAGTTTCAAATTCAATAGTATTCATAATTAGTGTATTTTTAAAAATTAAAAACAATTTGGTCAACACATCATAATACTATAACCAAACTGCCTTCTCTTTTCTAACCACGAAGCTAGTAATTATCTGCAAATTTAGTACCAAGCAACTACAGGGGAACAGAATTTACTAAAACTCTACATGGTAGCAGGGTTTGAAGAGGTGCATAGACAGCTGCACAGTGTGAAATACAGACAGTGTTTCTTTTAAAACAGTCCAATATAAGAGTCCAGCAGGACTCTTAACAAATGAATAAATTCAAAAGGCTAACATTTTTTTACAACTGCCATACACTATTAAATCCCCAGTAATACTTAGCATTTATACAGTACTTTATATTTTTAAAGCGCTATACAAATACTATCTAGATTGAAATGTATTCTCTAAAGGCAAAATACAAATCCAAAGTGAATGGTGATCAGAAGAATGGCACCATGACAATAAAATCTGTGACAGTAATGCAATTACTACAGAGAGAGACTAAGAACTTTATAGATCAGCTAGCTATGCATGAGCTATCATGGGAGATCACATGCTTTAGAAGGGAAATGTATAGATATAAAATTATCACCATTCATTAAATAGGTTCTATGACAACAAGGAATTGACACAGCTGTAACTGGCTCCACAACCTTAAAATGCCTAACTTGGAAGGTGTAGGAAATAGAAAGAAACCCCTTCAGTAATAGACAGCCAGGAGATAATACAAACAGCCTTTAAAAGCCATCATTCTTACACATCAATGTGGATTCCATGTTTTATAGACATTAATTCTCTAGTGCCTGTTAAATACATGATGAATGAACACAGATGAGGTAAAGATGCTGTAATTGCCACATACAGCCAATATGGCAAAGGAGGAGTTTTTCCAAATGGGCAGATCCAGAGGCCATGACGAATCCCGTCACGGACATGATGAGAAGTCCAGGATATGAACAACATCCAGGGAAGAAAGCACCATGAGTCCTTAAGCCTGAAAAGGTGCATAATAAACTTTAATGTCAGAGCCACAACGGGAATCATGGTAGAACAATGAAGAAGTGGTCTCCGTGGAAGAGTCAGAGCAGCCTGCAGGAAAGAAAAGTATAATAAGGTTCATGGATGTTTACAGGTATACTGTCAGGTGACTAAGTGGAAGTGCAAAGAAAAACCACTCCTTTTCACTACAGTTAATCAAAACTAACAATATGACTATTTTATGCATGAGACCTGTGTGCTCCCCTATCTCTCTGTTGTATGATATGAATCATGCATCCTACTACCCATTATCAACAGCAACACAAGGAGGGAGAGGGAGAAGGTATCCTACTTGTCATACAGTCATATGGTGCGCAGGAACTTGTATAATCTGCTGCACTGACTATTTGTATTTAATTTCAAGATAATTAAAAGGAAAACAAGCAACCGATACACTTGAAATATTTAATATGCTTTACTTGAAATAAATCATATGGTTTAATGGCATTTATTTTAAAAATCCATTTTGTATTTTACTACAGTTAGCACTTGTAAAGTTGTTTCAGTTGCACAGTGTTTAAAACAGAACAGTAATTTTCAGTACAATAAAAATGGGATCAAAGTTACATATATTTTGATTGCCTTGAGACAGTCTTCTTCACAGACAGGCAAAACAAAGTTCAGAAGCCCACATCTGAAACATTCGTGACTTTTTTTTTTTGTATCAACTATTTGTTTAACATTAACTTAGTTGAAAGCCTTATATTTAGTTTTAATCTAGCTAGTGAGATTTGATTTAGCCATTTTAAGAAGTGATAATGTAAATTTAATGTACATATTTCAGAAAATATCCTGTGGATGTACTTACTAGCAGCAGCTAGAACCACTGCCACAAATTCAAACACTGTAAAAAAAAATGTAATTGTATCTTTAAAGATACTATTGACAAATAAGTGACAAATAAGTAGATTCATTTTTCTGTAAGCACAGGAGAAGCGATAGCACATTACTGAAAGATCTATAGAGGTGCAGATACTGGTGAACATTTGGAAGGACTGTAAAAGGCACCAGAGATGTAACTAGACGGTGTATCTCGCAGTTGTATTGAACAATCCCTCAGTGTAACTAATGCAGAAAGCAAACAGAGCATTGCTGTCCTGTTCGGTCTTTGGTTGTGTTTAATCGTTGCAGGGTTCAACAGCAGGAGTACCTGGTAGTGGGACTCTGGAACAGCTTCATCAAGCTTTCATGCACAATTTAGACAACTGCTTGGAACCCTGTCTTCTCTGTAAAGGAAACTTTGATGTAGCCGTAGCTAAGTAGTACAGAGATGGGAAGTTATGGACTACCTTGGAATATAACAGCCTCTGCTTTAAACCAAAGCCAACATTACAAGGCCTGCAGAAAGCTTTGCCCTATTAGCTTCCCATCACATCCTTTCCCTGACTCATATTCAGGTGATGGGATTAAAAATCTCACAAACTGTCTCAACCATTTTTAACTCTAATGTTACAGACCCAAGTCTGGGTTAATGTTATGGACCTTTAAGTTGGTTCAAAAGGGGTGTTTTCTACAACTTAATTTCTGTTTCACACAAGCAGATTGTTCATGGATTAAAACAGAAAAATCTTGCAATGGTGAAATTGTTTATCACTTGTCCTGCAAAGAGTCAGATTTTTCTCACTGTGAACAAGAACCTCAAAAGTCCATACTAGCCTAATTCTGAAAAAACCTGGACAGTGATACGTTTTGGCAGATAGCCTACTGACTGATCTTTATTTCTGCACTTTGAAAAAATCAGTAGCAAAGTCTAAATTAGTCTTTTCCCTCTGCCCTACTGATGTTAGGTACCAATAGCAACACAGTGAGTAAGGATATTTTTAATGTTACTTACATACCCAGTTTAGCAATATTGGTGCCAATCTTTATCCAGTTTTGGGAAGGTGAGGCTTACATTTTTTTCCTACAAATTTTAGAGGGCAGGGTTGTTCATACAAGCCAACCTGTGTGTTCAATTTCAGCAAGAGAAAGCCCTATTTTATAACAGCAGTACAACTATTAGGCTTCTGAAATGCTATGCCCAGCAATAGTTGCTCAGAATAGTCTGTTTCCACTTTTACATTCTGTGACTAGAGGAACACTTACATCCTTGAGTTGCCAAGCCGAAGAGACAGACAGGTAATTCTGTTTGGCAATATAAGCAGTTACACTCTCCTAACAGGCAGATTTGTTTGCATTTAGAAATCAACAGATCTTTAAAAAAAATAATTTAAGTTAGCACAATTTTCTGCCTTAAACTGCCTGAAAAATGTTGCAAACAGAATTTATTCGCAAATGCTCTTTTCCATGAAATGAACCTATATGTTCAATCAGGTGCAAGATGATCTGGAAGTTCCTGCTCCTCCAGCCCCTCTCACGCACTGCAGTGAGCAGCTGGAGAGAGGAGACAATAATCACATGCAGGAGAACTGTGAGCAAACTCTTTGCTCACAGTAACACCATGGATGTTAAGTAACCACACAGGCTCCCTCAGGCATATCCCTCTGACTCTTCACAAGCCTGAAGTCCTTATTTTATAGTAACATATTCAATGTAACATATATAGTTATATTATAGTAATAATGTGAACAATACAGTGTCATATTCAACACTATATTATTTGTGTTTGTGCAAAGCTTATTCTCCAGTTCCAGAAATGCCCGTGTTCAGCCCATGCTGATCAGCAGTGGCACATTAACCAGCTGTGTCATGTATATTTGCTGGTACAATCCTGTTTGCCACCAACTGCATTTTCTACACTTCCAGAGTGTACAGCAATTTCTGCAAGTCTGTTCTGCAACATGAGTGTCTAGGCTATAATCCTGGGGGACACTGGGAGCAGCCCCTCATGCTCTATCAGCAATCCTGACTGATGACAGGCTGCAGTACCTATCACCTTTAGGGTCAGTCAATGAAAGAGATTCTTCAAACAGTGATTCCTTGATTCTTCTACACTTGGGCGCACAGTGCAAAGGACACGGAACACAAAGAAGTACAAATTCCAAGTAGTGAAGTTCTTGTAGATTTCATACTTGTTGCAAAAATAATGTGGGCAAAAGGGCAGATCACATGGTACTGGGTACACAAGTATTTATTAGAGCAAACATATAAATACCACAGGTGGCTATTTACCATGAATACTCTAGAAAAATAATGATGGCCATGAAAAACAGACCAATGGCCACACAATCCAGGTAGTGAGCTGTGTCAGCAGGAACAGAAGTAGGTGACTGGAGTAGTGTGAAGGTAGCAAGTGGAGGCAGAAAGCAATGCTGCCTTGCGCTGCACAGAAACGTTAAAGAAGTTAATCTGTCATCAGATTTAAAAGTGATGATAAAGAGCTTTATAGGTAATTGTGTAGAGTAATGTGAAAAGTACTATTGTTACAAATTAGTAATAGTGGTGTGGCTAGTTAATTAGACTTCTTAATTGATTAGTAATGTGTTGCATAAGCAGTAAACATTGTAGTGTCATAAATCAACTACTCTCAATCCTGCAATTTAAAGACGAAGAATGGGACTGTAACTAACAAATACATAGTAAAAAAGTATCCCATGAAGTAATAAATTACGTAGGAACTAGCCTGAAATTATGACATGAAACTGAGAGGTGCATCATATTAAACTGAGGAAAGAAAAATCACACATTACAATCAGATCTAGCTTGCCAGACAGCACACTGCAGAAAAGTTTATGGGGATTACTTTACATCACAAACCAAAGAGACTGATGGCACTGTAAGAAGACATAAAACTTGTAACAGGTGATTTTTTTCCTTTTTAAAAAGACAAAAGTGTTGTTATCTGTGTGCCACTGAAAGGAATTAATCTATGCTATTTGGCTCATACGAAGTCTCACCTAAAATACTACTCATAGTTTGGGACAGGACCCTGAAGATAATTCAGACAAAAGGCAATCCAAAGGAGAGGAGAAAAACAGTATGAGGTTTAGAAAACATAAATCCAGCCCTGTACAATTTTTTTTGAAAGTTATTTTAATTGAGAACAGAGTTTTTGTAAAGCATAATGGCTTTGCAAGTTGTAATGCTGTTACTGCTCTAAGAGTCAAGGGACCTACACTGGATATGTTTTACAGTTTTTTACATGTTTTTTAAATATCATTTATTAGCCCAGTTTACATATGGAAAAGGAAGGAGTTTGTAGGCAAATCACTTTGAAAAACCCTTTGGACTTCTTGTGTTCTCCTTACCTCAGCTAAATAAGTTTGGCTACTGAAAGGACTATGATTCTACTGTCCACATTGTGTGTTTCTGATGTGAAAAACATTTTGGGGGAGAGCAGAGAAATTAGCTGTCTTAACCTTAAAGAATAAGAAAACAAGATCTAAATGTCAACAACAGTAGCCTGGATTAGAAAATGAATTGCTAGCTGCTTGGGAATTGAAACAACACAGGAACAAATTAATTCAAGAAATTACAATAATTTACTGTGTTTCAGATACACAAACATTCTCAATCATGGAAAGTGTAAGAATATTTAACCTTGCCTCACTGAAAAACAGCAAAGAGACAGACCACCTCCCAATTCCATGATACAATTCAATACTCAATTTTCCAAACAGACATCGGTGAAGAGAGACATCTAGTGTCCACAATTAAGAAAAAATACTGATTTCAATACTCATTTCAAATGCAAGAAGCAGCAGTATAATTTCAATAATACTTTCTAATAGCTAATCATTCATTACTTGCATTTACTGATTTTAAAACGAGAAAATAAAAATGAGAATAATTAAGACATTTAAATTCTATTCCATAATGTCAACATTATAGGATCCATTAATCAACCAAGCTGAAGAGTGGGCATAAAGAGAACAGAGCCAGGCTCCTGGTACCCACTGACAGAGCAAGAGGCAATGGGAATGGACTGAAACACAGGAGGTTCCTGGGAGGGAACACACTTTCACTGTGATGGTGACTGTGTATGGGATCCAAACGTATTACTCAGAAAGACTGAATGAAATCAAACAGCAGCTCTATCATCTACTTTGCAGATAGTTCTGCCTCACATTTCAGATATTTCTAACCCTTACTGTAAACAGAAATGAAATAATCCACTTTATACACGAAAGCGTGCAAGGCAACACTTAACTGCTTAACTTGGGTAACAAAGCAACTACATGATACACATAGGATAGCATGTACAGCTTTCAGAACTCTTTTTCTAAATAGCAGAAACCGAACAATAGAATATTTTATGGCTTTTAAAATCATAAAACCTGCATATAATTCCATATATCTAACTTTCGTGTTTAGGACAATAAAGTAAGCAGTGATGGAAAAATAAAATAAATAAATTACTGATCTATTGACTTACCTTTAAGGAGAGGGATCCAGCAAGAAAGAAGTGGTCCACGTCAATGACAGAGGCGAGGAAGCCAGCCAGAGTGACCTCAGTGAAGTCACTTTTCTTCCTGAGTCCAATCACTATGGCCCAGGACCACATTCCCAGTATACCATGCACTGCATTATCAGAGAAGGCTCGGAGCCAGTCATTTTGCTGAATGAAGGAAAACTGCAGAAGTCTGTCTGCTACAAAGCAGAATATCCCCAAACCTAGACTGGAAATAACTGAAGCTGCGCTGAAAGTCTGGAGAAGAGCGTGGGCCTTTTCAGTCTCAGATGCCATGACAAAAGCCATGTCACAGCACACCAAATGTCATCAGGATACACACTGTGCATTGTCCTTTGTATTGTCACTGTTCGGAAAATGTCAGAGATCAGAAAATTATTAAAGAAAAAATCCATTAGCACAAAGCATTTATCAGAACTAAAACTGAGCATAAAAAAATCCCCAAATTCAACGTTTGCACTTAATATTCCTAGGGAGTTTTTAGTTTCAGTTAATTTGTTGACTTGAACACCACAGCTCGGAATTAAAACACTTGTCCTGTTTTAATTAGAGCAAGCACAAATAACATGGAAAGTTCTAATTGCACTTACTGCAATATTAAATTTTACAAAGTAATTTGAAACACGTCTATGATAATACGTTTCAAGACTCTTCTGGTCTTAAATACATTATATTAATTGAATTAAATACTTTACAATGTAACAACAAAAGATTACCCAATACGGAGGATTCCTAGGACTGATGCTCAAAAATCCCAGATCTCTCTATATGACAACTGTTAAAACTGAGTTTTTAATCTATAATCCAAAGTACTATTTTAACTTACATATTTTGCAAACATACGTATTATCACCCTTGTACACTTTCCCGAGCAACTCCTTGTTCAGTTTGGAGACTGGGACGTAGAATAAGCCTTAAGAAAACCAGAACCACTTACATATCTTCACTATTTATGATAAACACAAAGACAACAACCATTCAGTCAACCAAAGTAACCAAAACTGAGTGCTTACAGGAGAAAACTACATATGCTTTTCCTCAGTATGTTCTCCAGCAGCAAATCCTGCTGTTAGTTTTAGGAGTGTTGTCTGCCAATTACCTTCAGAACTCCTCTTTTTGCAGAGAAAAGAAAAGCAAATTAACTAATCCCAGTCATTTTACTTTTCAAAAGTTGCTGTTTGAAAACAATGGCATTGTTATATACATTAATAATAATTCTGAAGTTCTTAGAACCTATTTATGTTCTGTGACTTTTATGAAACCCTCTGATAAGAGGTGATTCCTTGGGAATAATTACTTACCTGAAGTAATTAACACCTCAAAAGAAATTCCAAAAATAATTAAAGATCTTAAAGATCTCCATCTCATTCCCCCAAAACAATTATAGGATACCTGGATTACAAAAATACAGTACTGATTTATGTGATAACATTAAAAAGAACACTTTTGAAAAAAAAAGTCCTCATGTTCATGAAGTATTCCCTAGCTTTGTTACGTTAAACATACTGAAAAGCTGTCTTTGAAGGATAGTACCAATTCTACCTGTTCTAAATGCTATGCTAGTCTTTTTGGGGAGCCATAGGGATAGACCACAGTTTTGAAGCCTATCTAAGCCTATATCCTATCTAAAAATGGATTCTTCCCATGAATTTGTCATTTTTGTGCACTACATTAAACCTTGATAATCTGTCTTCATACAGTTCTATTAGGTAAACTTTTGTTCTAAAGGCACCTTTTGTGAGTGTACTAGAATTCCTCTGAAAACGAATAACAATGTTGACACATAACAGTTTACGATTTTAAACATATTATTGATTTTAAGTCTCAGAAAATATGTTTCCTCCAGACTATTTCCATGCCTGCTTATTGTAGAATTATCTGCAAGACATGACTGCTGGCATCTTTATAGAAAAAAAAAAAGCCCGCTGAACCTGTGGAAAACATTAAAAAAAAAAAGAGAAGAAAGCATTGTCGAGGACCAAGAATCAGAATGGGAACGATTTCAGAAGTGGAAAACTATGCACAGCGATTGAAAGGACTTTATGATGCAGACTTTACAGTTATTATGTATATACACATTGCATATTTCCCCAGAATTTATATCTCCCGGGCACGTCCAGGCTTGTTCCTCTGCTGGTAGGCTGGAGAAGCTGCAGAGAGGAGACAGCCCCCATTCGCCCTTTCCTTCCCCGGTTCCTCCTACGTTCCTCCCCCTTTGCCCGTGTCCCTATCCTGATTCGTTCCCCCGCTTGTCTGTCCCATGCTCCGCCCCATGTTTTGGCCCTTCCCCCTCCTGAGCTGATAAAAAACAGCGTGCACGCTTGAATAAAGCCTTCTACCTGCACCCTACCTCGGCTCCTGAACCCGTGCTGTGCCACAGCCCCTTCCCCCCATTCGGACCGCGGCAAAACATGAATAATACATAGTCTTTGTACAGAGATGAAAAAAAGTAGGTCAAGTTTGGCATCTGTTAACCATGACTGTGCCTCTTCTGAATGAACGTGTAGACACAAAATATTTCCTGAAACACTGTAAGTGCAATTTTCTGGTGGATGACTTTACAGTACATTTCTGAATAACTTCCATTTTAAAGAATAAACGGTGACCTCCTCACAAATGTTTCTTCTATATAACCATCATGTCAGATTGGATTTCACTTAAAATTACCATATAATCTGTGTAAGAATCCAATCTGTGCAGAGGTGATGCAGCAACATACCTTTAAAAAGCACACCGGTATTCAAAATCAAACTTATCCTGGGACTAGGAGGACATACTTTTTTCCACTGCAAGTGGCTTATTCCAGTAGCAGATGTGGTCTCTGCCTCAGAGTTGAGCCTTTGTGCTTTCTGAATCCAGTCTGCCCAGTCCAAAGCAGGAAATACCAAACACCATTTGTTCCATTCTAAATAACAGAAACAAGGCAGCAGTAAGACTGATACTACACAAAGCTCTTCAAACGTTTTACAAAACACACACAAAATCTGAACAATAGTAAAAAAACCCAGAAAGGATAAACATATATTTAATTCATTCATGAACAAATATAATTGAGCTAAAAGCAACTTCCAGCTAGGGCTCTGAATTGCTGTTAAAGAAAGTAGGAAAAAAAGACCATAAAACAAGAGAAGAGCACACATAAAGACAGAACACAATAATAATTAAAAGATAATAAACCCCAAAGTGGTAAACTCAGAAAAGAACACTTCCAGTCTTTTAAGTAACTGCCTTTCAAAATATAGAGCAATCTATTTTAACAGATCCCTTCTTGTGTCTGAAAGATTCCTACCTAATGAAACATTTACGAGTCACAATCGGGGATCTGTTTTTTAATTTCACCCCATTACCAAGTGGCCTTGGAATAGATAAACAGAGATCTAGAGACTGAAACAGCAACAGAAATCGGTGTCAATTTGGTGTTAGACTTACACTGTTTTGCTATGAACAGTATTGCCATGTCCATAAAGTACACAAGACAAGTAACACTACAGACTTTAAAAATCCAAAATGAGTATGATTTGAGAATTATGTATCATGAAATAAAGGTAATAATGCCAACTGGACAAGAACTATTGTATGTGAATGGGTTTCTTTCATACAGAATGAAAAACAGGATGCAAAACTGGCTTCAGGTTGACCTCAGTGAAGAGCCATGTCCAAATGTTGTTTTTAAACAGCCTATTTCTGCCACCTTTTTAGAAAAAAAAAATGTATAAAAATCAAGTCACATTCCCAGGCACATCAACATTAACTATAAATATTCTGCAAATCAAGAGTGAAATCAGACTAGAAAAGGCAAAACTCTGTTCAACCAAAATAATCTCTAAAATGATAAATTTAATGTAAACCTAGAAACCCTTTTTTTCTGAAATGATAAATTTAATGTAGAACTAGAAACTTCTTTTGGCTGAAAAATTATGATTTTCAAGCTTTATTTTCACAATAAAGTGTCATATGTTTTTCTATCCTATGTAGAAAGCATATTGGTGGAATTTACATTCCTGTTAAAACATAAAATTGGGAAATAATACACACAGGAATGCTTAAACTGGGTGGTCAGTCCAGTTAACATGCTGAAAGGAAGCTTTATGTTGGTTTTACATAAAACACAAAAGCTGACAGAGTAACACTGCCTAGAGTTGTGATTTTTTGTGTCATTTTTATATGAGATAAAGCACTATACATAATCTATGCCTACACCCTCAAAATGCAATTTTGCTGATATGTTTAATGTAATTTAAGAAAGTTACCAATAATACCTTACCAAATGCACAGTTAACACTTTAAATTAGTGACGCAAGATATTTACGTCAAAACTGTAAATATGCATTTGGGGAAAAGAGACGACACTAAGAGGCCTTTCAACTCATGCTGTATGAGCAAAACAAAATTCCAGTGGCTAAAATTATCACTTAGAAATACTGCTCTCCCAAATTTTTTTCTCCAGTTTTGCAAGACGTTATCAGGTATGGGAAAACGTATAGGTATTTAATGCATAAAATGACAGAATCACAGAATCAATTAGGTTCGAAAAGACCTCTGGGGCCACTGAGTCCAACCTGTGACAGAACACCACCACGTCAACCAGCAGAATTATTTGGACTTTATGCAAGCAGTCAAAAGACTGCAGCCCCTTAAAACTCTTATTATCTCCTAAAAACTTCAATATTTGATATTGGATGTTAATTTATATTAAAAACTGCATGACGTTTAAGACACCAGCTCAAGCCTTAAGCATATTAACTCATGGAAAAGGAGATCCCAGCCTAAGACAATCTATGAAGATCTGGCAATGCAAGTATTTTTGGGTCAGATAACTATAATCTATTATTGAGGCTGGAGGGCGGGAAAGGACAAAAGCCCAGAAGGAACCCGTAGGATTTACCAAGGCGCTGAAAAACCAACTAAATTTAACCCAGCAGGAAATGAACCTGAAAACCCGGAGTGTGAGGGGAGCCCGGAGCCCCCGAGGGGTGACGGGGCTGGGAGCCGCCGCCGCCGCCCGTGCCCAGCCCGCCCCGGATCCCACCTGGAGCGCGGCCGCCGCCATCGGCACCCTCACCCCATGAGGGGAAGGCGCCCCGGCCGCCCCGATCCCGGCAGGAGCGGAGTAGGAAGCGCCTTAGGAAGCATGCGTGGCCGCGGAGCAGCCTGGGACCCGCATCAACCTTGTCTCCTCCCATGCCCGCCCCGACCCGCTTACGAGGGAGAAGTTTTTCCTAGTGGGGGGGGGCTTAAAAACAGTGTTTGGGTGTTCGTGCTATGGTCCGTTATACCGCTGGGAGAAAGGCGTCTTCTGCCCTGATATAAATTATTTATTTACTTAAAAAAGAGAATCTAAAGCATTTGGGAAACATTTTATTGGACTGGGCAAGCTTCTGAATAAAAGCACGTTTTTACAATTAAAACTGCCTATCCCTACTCTAGTCAGTTCAGCAGTTCACTAAGTTGTTCTATAAAATCAATTGATTCAAACACGACTTCATACATTTAAAAGTAGCGAGGTCAGGTCAGCCTTGATGTATTTATACAGCTGTGCTCTACTATTTCACCTGTTCTCTTTGTACCAAATGTACCACTGGCACTGTTACTGACATTACAGTGGCAGCTCACAGACTTCACGGGTGTTACAATGGCGACTTCAGCCTTCCTGTCGCCCCTCAGAGCTCCCTCAGACACAGCTGGGACAGCTCCTACGAGGACACGGAACACAGGTCTTCATCTGCTATGAAGCTTCACTTCCCAGAAGCTGCAAGCAGAGGTTCAATATCCTGAATGACTTTAGAAGTTTTCTCCAAAGCTTTCAAGAGACACCTGACACTGAGTTCTTTCGATTCACTCCTGCTTTCATTTTTTCTGACAGCGATACCAGACGGATTGGATTTTGCAGCATTCTTCCTCTCCGGAACATTGCTACTGTCTAATAAAACTAGTGTTACTTTGTTAAGGAAAAGGATCAAACTCTTCCTCCTAATGAGAAAAATAATTCTGCGTGTCTGTATTTATCATTCTGCATTGCAAAGTCTCACATTTTGTAGCATGATAATTACATATAGCCAAAGAATAAAGATGGTATATTACTTAAAATGTCTATAACATTTATATAAAAATGTCTTTTAGACTTTAATTTTTCCAAGAGTTACTTTAAAAAGAAAACTAATGTTACACTGGAGTTTAACAGTGTGCACTTTTCACACTAATTGAATTGTACACTGGTTTAAAGACAATTATAGAGTGGCTTTAAGCAGATTCAGGACAGCTGGCTGAAGACAATAAAACAATAATAAAGTAGCTGATAAACAGAAAGATACTGTACTGCAGCAACAAGCCCCAAGGCAACTGCCTTCTCTGTCTTTCAAGAACAGATCAGCAGATGACTCTTAGCAAAACTGATGCAACAACCATTAAAGGGCTCTGTTTTTTGGTGACTTTTTATTTTGGTGCTGTGATGTAGAAGTTGGACAAGATAAGTGATAAAACAAAAATGATAAATAAGAAAAAGAGGTAATTTTAAGAAGTGAGTAAGGGAGTAAAAGAAAGCAGGAACGGGATAGAGAGCCTTTGATGATCTAAAGTGAATATTTGAACATACAGATGAACAGCAGAATATAAAAGTGAAAAATCTACAGCTTTCAAAAGGACACAATTAAATCTCTGTATTTTTTTTGAGCTCAGCATCAGCAGACCTGTCCAAAAAAATAAAGGTTATTAAACTATTAGTATAATAAAAGGTTCTCAAAGACATTTTATAACTCACATTTTATTTAACACTTTCCAGCAATACTGAAAGTTAGATCAGCAGAATCCAAGTGAAAAAAAATGCTGTATTTCTGTCTTTCATACCACTATCCAATGGCTGACATTTATTAATCATTTGTGTTCCCAAAAATCAAGGCTCTGCTCTAAGAATAGTCTCTTTGCTCTATGTATCTATAAATATAGATACGATTTTCATTTCATCAGCTATAAAATGTATCAGCTGAATCTGCTATAATTTAAGTAACAAGTACAAGTGTAATTGACGTCAATTAACACATTTTTAATACCCAAATGTGTTTGCATGTGATGTCAGTAGACTTCTGGTCAGTAGCATGTTAAGAAGGGCAAATACATCAGCAAGAGATACAACTGCTAAGTTCAAAATCCTGTTTTGAATTGCCTGATGTTTTGTTAAAAGACACCTTTCTTTGTCTAGTTTCTCTTTTTTTGCCTTGTCTCTGTAACATTAATCCTCCTTTAGCCAAGTCACCATAATTCTGATATTTAAGTAAGACAGGCTCAATGAAACAACCTCCACCTGGAACCCACCTAACATTTTAAAAACGGAATGAAAGATATGAAACCATACAAAATAAATGGTCTTTTTGACTACTAGGAAATGCAATCTATAAAATTCGCAGTTTATAATATTTTTGAGTTTTGTTTTCAACATTATTTATAGTCAATTTTTTAGGACAACAATGAATACCAGTTTTCTTCAGTTACAGAGTGCGCAGTATATTCAGCAATCTCTTTCCTTTCACTCAAACTTCTGCACCATTCTATTGCTGTTCTGATGTACCTATGTAAATATGAAAATTCAAAAAAGCAGTTATTTATATGAAAACCAAACTATTAATTTAAGCAAAAACCTGAAAGTGTTAAGCAATCCATTTGGATCTGAAAGAAAAAGCTATGATTCAAAATCTAGCTTTTTCTCTAGTTCACCTTGTCATTTTTTGATTCACACTTTTTGTCCAGAATCTCCTTCATATACAGAAAACTGTAACAAAGCTGTTATAATTTGTGATGAATAGTGTACAAGTGGTTATTTTTGTTTGTGAATATCTGCTTGCTAAAATGCAGCACAGTAAGCTTCTGATGATACCCATAATGAGGCTGTAATTCGAGCAAGGAGATTACAGAAAGTAATCTGCAGGCAGAGGTCATTATCTGTAATAAAGCAAAAATTGGATAAAGTGCTGTCCAGTTTTATGTACCAGCTCTACACAGGACAAATGCTTTTGGGGTTTTTTCTTATCCACTGAGGAAAATGCCAAGTTGCAGCCCTAGTTCTTTTTCTAAAAAGACATTGCAGTAACAATTATGATGTAATGACAGCATGCAGTGGCCCTGGGTCATACAGGTCCTGAATCTTTGCCAGATGTAAGATGGAGCTTTTATCATTATGTGTTTGGTTCAGCCCTCCCAGTATATTGTCAGTAAATACTGCTTCTTCATCAAAATGGATTTGTACAGGATTATTTTATATTTAAATTGCTTAAACTGTTTATACCTTTCATAGACTCCAGGATGACTTATTTGTATTAACTGCTGTACCCCATCAGGAGTAGTTAACTTACGCCAGCCTATATCTTCATTTACCTTAAAAGAAAAAACATTACAAGTATTGATCTTCTGCTGCAGTCTGAAGAAGAAAAAGCAAGTATAATTTGCCAACTTAAGAATTAAGTATCTATGAATGATCCAGTTCAAACACTTATAAGTTTGTGCTTTGCTAAGGATAGAATCTGGTACACTCTTAAGCTGTGCCAGGGGAGGTTTAGGTCAGACATTAGGAAGAAGTTCTGTACAGAGTGTGATTAGGTATTGGAACAGGCTACCCAGGGAGATGGTGCAGTCACTGTCCCTGGAGGTATTTAAGAAAAGAATGGATGTGGCACTCAGTGCCATGGTCCAGTTGACAAGGTGGTGCTTGGTCACAGGTTGGACTCGATCTTGGAGGTCTTTTCCAACCTAACTAATTCTGTGATTCTGTGGTATAGTCTGCTATGACAAATGCAGGGGAAAAAGGCCTTGGCATAGCTCCAACACCTGCTTTGTGCTATTCAAGAATAAATGTCCTAGTTAGGACAGCTGAGACTAGTTCATCATGGTATGGGTGTAACCCAAAACTGTGTATTCTATAGCCTTCCATGCCATTTCCCAGAAACTGTTGTCAATAGAGTATTCGCACCCTCTGCCCATAGAGCCTGACTCCTCAGGCTATAAACTAGGTGTTAAGAGGCCTGTGAGATAGGAGGATGCTCCTGTCCTCACACCCTTTGTGGAACTCCCCGCCCTGAGGGAAGTACTGAACATTCCTGCCTGAACTGGAGGATATATAATCTTGGAGTCTCGGAACATTTTTTACCCACTCATGGGATCCAGAGGAAGACTGCAGCTCATCGCTCTCAACCAGACTTAGACCACCCTCAACTGGACTGCAATCACCACTTTTGACCAGACTGCAACAGCTCTCCCAGCAGCAGGTTTTTCCCTCTCCCTTTACTTTGGACTCAAGCGGGGCCCAAGGAACACCACGTTGTTCATGCCCCAGGGTACTGGGTTATACATTTGGGTTTTGTGGGTTAAGACCAATTGTTTGTTTGTATGATTGTACTTACTGTATTATTTTAGTAAATTGTTATTCTGACTTATAACCTCTCCTTTGAGTTGAGTTCATTTCCCCTGCTGGTTAACTCTTAAACCAGTACAATAAATTATTTCTAAAAGTGCATAGAAACGTCTCCAAACCTGTAGAATTTTCAATTATTTTTTATTTTTGTATTTTATAGGCATCAGAACTTTTGCTTCATTTTCTCATTGATTTCCTAGTAACACTTTTTCAATTAAAAGTTTTAAGAATAGTCCTTCCTCTAACTTATGAGTTACCTGGATCTCACTAGAGGAGGAGCTGAAATCCCAAACCACATTCAGGGTCAACCCATCCCAAAAAGCAGCATGGACTTTATGATCCGAGTACACAACGAGTCTTCCCATGTTGGGAATAATCTTTTCATACAGCAAAACTAGCAACATTTCTCATCCATCTGTCTCAGGTACCTGGAACCAAACAGATACATCAAAAACTTGAGGAAAGATTACTTACATCATTATAGCTGTTTGTATATGGCCCAGATTTTCAATTCACTTGTTTTTCCCCAATTACAACCAGCTCTCTTCATCATGCAATTTCTTTCTGCTTCATAAATATAACTTTACAGTGCATGCTTTTGGTTCCCAAATATCTACCTTCTGATCTGTGAGAATACACTCAACATTCATTCCTCTAGATTTAGTCCTGTTCCCTATAGTCTGTATAATCTTCCCTAGAACACTGAAAAATTAGTAAATTTTCAGCTACATACCACTTTCCAGCAGCAGAGATGATAGTTATGACTTAATAACAGTTTTGTCTTGCAGCAATAATGAAGTATTCTGAGGAGAAAAAAACCCAAACAAAATATTAAGCATTTCATTCTTATTATGTCTTCTAAGCAGTTAGGAGCTTTGTTTTTTATGTTTACATATGTCCTCAGTGCTAATATAAATTACTTTAATTTTTATACTTAATGTAATAATAAGTGTTACGTGTAATTTTAACTCCTGTCCTTTCTAAGTCAGAAGAATTAATGTAACAAAGGTAAAGTTACTTGGTTGCCTGGTACATCAGGAGGAAGACTGTTCACTGAATACATTTTTTCTTCCACTTGCAGTAGAGCAGAAAGGTGAATTAGTTACAGGTACCATAGCATGAAAACAGCATTAAAAGCTTGCAAGTTATGAAATTTCTAATCTCCCAGAAAGAAACTATAATCACATTTAAAGCTGCTCCAGAACAACTATCTCCTCAAAAAGTAAAAAAAAAAAAATAAAATATTCAGTTTCTCTGCACTCAGTAAGGGCCAAGAAGTTCTCTTATCAGAGTAGTTCATTACTGAGTAACGACATCTGACTATGAGTTAAAGGCTGGGTTTGAAGAGTACAAAGCTGATCCTTAATTCTGCTTTAAAAATACAAGGCACCGCATAAGCACTTGAGAGGATTTCTGCTCTGGGGAAACTTAGCAACAGGAAGACACAGAGAGGCAAAATCCTTTCTCCAGCACTGAACAGCTGGTCTTGTAGCAAAGCCAGGACACATCTTCTAGGTTCTGTCTCCATACAGTAGAAAAGAAAACACTTCCAAGTCCATAAAGATTAATAATCAATATGTTAGTTTAAAGAGTAAACTTCTAAATTAGCGACAAATGGTAGTAGTAGTATCTTACTCTTGGGTTTGATAAAATAAATGTGACAGTGAATAAAATTTTCCTTATTGTTTCTGTAGTTTCCAAAACTACTCCTTCTGAAGCAGAAGGAGTAATCTCATTTTTTTGTATGATCGATGGCTTGATACAGGCATAATTCACTATAGAGTGCATAGCCAAATGTATTAAAACTAAGAAAGCTGCTAACTTGAAGGGATTTGGAATATACTTTAAAATAGTTTTATAGCTTTTTCGTTCCTTTTTGGACTGCATAATGTATGAAATATTTTCCAAAAAATGCTCCCTCTGACTTGAAAAATGAGTCATCACCAGGATAAATTTCTGTGATGTTTGTCCTACCATGGATAAATCTAAGAAAAATAACATAATTTTTAACAGGTATTTAAAATGCTGTTTCACTAGACAAGCAAAACAGGTTAGTACAGTTGAAGAAAGCAATAAGCAGAAACATATTTTCAGCAACTCTCACGTGAAAAAAATTTCATAAAGAGCGAAATGTACCAACAATTTCTTTTAACACAGAAGATTAGCATTACCAGGGCTGTTTCTTTGCATGTGTGCATGAGGGGGAGGATTTAAATAAGCTAATTAAAGTTTTTTTGTGTGTTGAGGTAAACGTCTCACAAGAGCTGCTCATATCACTGACCACAAAATACAGTGATTCTGAAGAGAATAACCAATTTTCTTAGTAGACCAGCCCTACCTAGTGCACACAGAAAACTGTCAGACTGAATGATTCCTGAACAATCTGAAGCTCAAAACCACAATACAGCTGTGTTTCTCATTAATGTAAATGGTCTTTTATCTGTGATCATATGGTATCTTCGAGCCTAAAACCCACTTAATGACCCAAAGGTGGGACTTTTTTGAGTTAAGTGAGGCTACTCACCATACTTTCAAAGAAAAGAGGTTTCTGAGAAAAAAAGCTCTGAAGTGCTGCAAACATTTTGTTCAGATGAGATGAAAATTTTGGAATTACACTAGGAAAAATGAAGAACACTGGGCAAAAGGATTAAAGGTTTCAACAGCAATGATGCTTTTATCAAAGACCTTTAGATGCTGATAGCAATTATAACAATTTCAATTTGAAAGGGCATTTAAAAGAAAAAAGTCTTTCTTTTTTTAACCATATGGACAAGGTCACTAGCCAGGAAAATCCACAGTTGAACATGTGAATTATGGAGGTTACCAAGACAAACATTTCTAAAGCATTAAATCATTAGTATCAAAAGGAACGCTAAGTAATTTGCAAAGAAAACAAGTACCATGATTGTCAGTGAAATCTGAGGGAAGTCCAGCTGTCCAATAAACCTTTAAGAAAGATCATTTCTTTAGAAGCCTTAAACATGGTTTCAGATTCAGACCTGGAAATACACTGTACTAGAAAATCTGAAGTCCAATGAGCAAACAGGAGAAATGAAGAAACTCTTACATGAAGATTGTCTTCAATTTCTCAAAGAGTGATAAATGGACAAAGTAAGACATTTCATCTTAAAGCTTAATTCCCATACAAATAAAGTCTTCCAGTGATGTCACACGTGACTTCCTACATACCTACAAAAAACACCCTGGCACCATACAACTTGAATTAGCTGAGGGCATGAATAGTTTTCAGTGTCTTCATTCTGAAAGAAGTCACGGAAAGTCTACCTGTGTAAAATGCAATAAAAGTCTCACTAAGTCCAAAGGTTGGTTGGTTGTTTTTTTTCCTTTTGTGTGTGTGCTGGTAATCATTTCTGGAACTAGAACTGATGCATGCACATCTATTCAAAAGGAAGGGGCCGCATATTTTCAGAGTCCTCCGATTCCTTAGTTATTCACATTAGTTACCAAATAAAACTTCTCAACCCTGCAAATGTTTTTATTTTTAGTGATGCTGACAAAAGAACATGTGCCATTGACCCACCTCAGAAGTATTATCTTCTCAAAAATAAAAAAAAAAAAAAAAAACCAACCCAACCTAACACCTGTGTACTTTTTTCACTATTCTCTTTTCCATTTATATGTTTATACAGCATGTTAGAAAACAGAATTTATTTTTTTCTCTGGACTAATTACTATAGTTTCATTACAGTAGGATACAGAATGTTGGTTTCACAAATGTCATGTTTGAAGAAGATTCTAAAAAACTCCCAACTGATAGCGATTTTAATTTTTTTTTTTTTTTATAGCTAGAATTCAGTTATTTCCCTAGAGGCTGAAGTTCCAAATTGCAGAATTGTGAAACACGTTAACATTTACAGTGTAAAGAGCTTAAATTACCTGTGTAAATGTGGGGCTTTGCAGCTGAGGGGCAAAGCTGTAGGTAAACAAGAAACTGTTTCGTGTGTTTCAGGGTCTGTTACAACATCAGCCTTGATAGGTGTATGGTTATTTTTCCCACATGGCTTCATTATGTTCTTAACAGTATGTAAGTTACAGCACATCATGCCAAAGACAAAGAATATTTCCATTCTTCGGGACAGGAGGAAACAGACCAACACTGTGTAACCCATGTGTATTCAGAAGAACAACTGGTGTAGCACAGTGGGTCTCCATCTCTGTCTCCTCGGTCCTTTGGTTTGGTTGGTTCTCTATATTTACCTTCAGCACAACCATGTTCATTTTTCTTATTCACTATTCTTGTTTGTTTCAACAACATTTCTGTAACAGAGTTATTTTGATAGTCGCTGTACTTTTGAGAGGAGCGTAAGGATGCTGCAGATGACTGGCTGACTTTGCATAAGAACTCCACTGTAAATTCTTGCTGCAGTTCTGACAGGTAAAGGTGAGCATAGCCATCTACAGATGAGATCTTCACACTGCCATTGTCTGTACATCTTGTCAGACCAGCTGTTGCAGGGTCAGGCCATCTAATTTCTAAGATATCACTGAAAAGAATCTAATACAAGAAAAAGAACTGGAATGTGCAGCACGATAAAAATGACCTGCCTCTCAGAAATTACAACGGAGGACTTACATTTAAATGAATTCAGTTCTTCTGCAAGGTGATGTATGACATGAAATGTTGGTCTGTATTTATTTGCATATATAAACTCAAGAAGAAGCAAAATATCTAACCTTCATATCTGCTTCCTCCTGTTCTAACAAAGTTCTATCTAGCAATAAGGTTATAATTTAATAATAATTCATAAAGTAGTGAGGTACAGGGGAATTGACAAGGCACAACTACCCATAGACTGTACGTATTTCCATTTCCAAGAAACTGCTTCTTAAGAAACACTGAGGAGAATGGCTGAATTATCTTGTACATATCAGTTACTGACTGAGTTCATAAAGAATTGCAAAAGGACCCTAAAAAGAAACAAACAACAATGACCAGACAATAAAGCTGCAGATAAAAATTCATAATGTGATATAAATGAGGAAAAGCAGTCCTAGCTTTCTATATAAAAGAATGGGCTCTGAGTTGACTGCTACTGTTGGAGTTCCTCCAACCAGGAATGAGATCTTGGTGTTATAATTGTCAGTCCCACAAAAACATACTCAATGCTCAACAGCAGTTTAATCAGTGTATTATATGTTTGAAAATTCTATGAAAGGAACAAGAACAAACAGAAGATATAATGATAACACTGAATATGTGTTCACAGTTAACCTGCATTTTGAATACTGTTTGCAGTTCTGAAGAGGACATACCACTGACAAGATCTCCCTCATCAAGCTGTCTAGAGATGTGGATGGTTAGAGTGGCCAAAGGAGATTCTAAGCACACCATAGTAACGGGTTGTTTTAAACTCAAGCATGGTCCAAGTAATGCAGTACAAGTGTTTTTGTGCCCTGTGGCACATACATAGTGATACTGAGTGATACTGTTTAAGCAGCTAAGCATTAGCATGAAGTGTGTTACACTTAGAATCATAGAATCATAGAATCGATTGGGTTGGAAAAGACCTCCGAGATCATCGAGTCCAACCCTTGGTCCAAATCCAGTCCATTTACTAGATCATGGCACTCAGTGACACGTCCAATCTGCGTTTAAAAATCTCCAGGGACGGTGAATCCACCACCTCTCTGGGCAGCCCATTCCAATGCCTGATTACTCTCTCTGTAAAGAATTTTCTCCTGATATCCAACTTAAATTTCCCCTGGCGGAGCTTAAGCCCGTGCCCCCTTGTCCTATTGCTGAGTGCCTGAGAGAAGAGACCAACCCCACCTGGCTAGAACTTCCCTTCAGGTAGTTATAGACGGTGATGAGGTCACCTCTGAGCCTCCTCTTCTCCAGGCTAAACAACCCCAGCTCCCTCAGCCTCTCCCCATAGGACTTATGCTCCAGTCCCTTCACCAGCCTTGTTGCTCTTCTCTGGACCCGCTCCAGCACCTCAATATCCTTTCTGAACTGAGGATTGTGAATTGTCATCTAGAAGTTTTAAAACTCGCCTGATTTACCAGTTGTCTTAAGACTCCCACATCGGCATTCAGTGGGAACACCAGAGGGATGCTGATGAGGAGTAAAGCTCCCAGAAACGGTAAACTGGTCTCTGGATGGACATTCAGTCTGACCTAGAGTAGCCATTCCTGCAGAGTGATGCTTTGCCCCATTTCTCTCACAGGCCCCAGCACAGTCCCACACAGGTCCTTCAATGGGGAAACAATGGAATATTGAACCTGACAGCCTCTTGGAAAACACCATCCTATTTCACTGGGTCTTTCCTGAAAGGTTTCTACTGCCAAAATGTAACAAAATATAAAACAGCTCATTTTGTACGTATCCTATGTACAAAATCCTATAAAATCTTTTGTCTTACTAGGAGTAAACTAATTTTAGTGTATGGCTACAAAGGATATGCACAAATAGAGGGCTAAGTTACAGTTAAAACTGTAACTTAAAATGGCAATATTCCAGTCAAGCTGACAGCTCCATTGGCAAACTGCACTCGATATATCTCCATGGCCTGTACTCACACAAAAGCATGTGGAGTTACATTAAGTGCACCAGGGAAGTTTATTTTACGAAAGCACTGCACGTGTACCTCCCACCTTTTTTCTCTCTGGAGGTATAACGCGAGAAGGTAATTACGGGGGAGAAGAAAACTTGTTCCGGAAATCTACAGCTCGTAGAAGTTGTTCCTATTGAAGTGTGGAGAAAAACAAAACCACCCTATTAGGGGTTTTTATATGAGGAGATAACATTTTAAACTAATTTCTTACTTATCTTTTACGGAGCTGATCTAAGAAACACCCTCCACTTAAGAGAGAGAAACAAGAACTTTATTTGTGCTGTGACTCCCCTGGGCCGCCCCGTTCCCGCGCAGGGCGGCAGCCCCGGCACCTCCATCTCAAAGAAAGCTTCCTAGGACAACACAGGGACGAGGTACCGCTGCCCTCCCCAAAGGCGATGCCCGTCCCATACCCTGTAGGCACTGACGACGAAGGCGACCCGCTGGCGGGTGGTCTCCGCCGGCTGGAGCGGGTTGGCGGCGGCGCGGAGCGCCCCTTCGTACAGGTACTCGCAGCCGCACGGAGACAGCAGCAGGCGGGACCCCTCCGCGTAATGCACCTCCACCGAGTCGTCCCTGAACAGCACCATCAGCTCTTCGGCCTTCATCGCACCAGGAGGCCGAGCTGGGCCCGCACGGGATCGACCGGGGCCGACAGCGCTCGGAGCGAGATGGCCCTGCCGGCGAACGGTGGGAACAGCGGGGCAGGACGGGGGAAGCGCTGAGCTCCGCCAGAGCTCCTCCCGCCAGAGCTCCTCCCAGGTGAGGTACCCCCAGCACCCCACTCGCCCACGGGAGCCTCAGGCAGAACTGCGCTGCTTCTCCCGCCTCCCTACGCACCAAGCCAGCGGCTGGGCAACCGGGCGTTCATTCCTCGCCTCCCCACATCGGCACTTCTGGAAGACTAGGAGGCAGGCTGCCCATCTACAACATACCCCAGAGACAGCCTACTTAAATATAATTCTCTAGTGACTGCTGCTTTACATTCATGTATTCGCAGGGCAGGGAAATTCAACCTGTGTAATTAGAACTGGGTAGCAGAAGTTGTAGCTGAATAGGCAAGGTATAAGTTCGTAAAGGACAATTTTAAAATTATGCCTAGCTGCCTTTTTGGAAGATTATATACAACACCCTCCCTCCCCTAATATTTAAAATTAATCAAAGCTGGTTTAAGTGGATTGACAGTTTACTGCCAAGTGACAATTCATTATCTATCCCCATTCAAAGCACTTAATAAACACAACTGAAGATCCACACCAGAGCACGTGGTCTTGCTGTAACAGTTGTCCCTTACCTACCTATGGAGGTACAAATTTCTCAGATCAGTGCAATCATGGATGAAGCGTGTTCAGTACAACTTTCATTCTCAACAGCTGTTTTCCCAGGAGAGAGTAGATAGCATCCAGTCAAGTGGCTGCAGGCACGGCCATGCATCAAAATACCCTCGTTCTGTTTGCAATACCCTTTTTAATAAGTATTATTCTGTACAGTACTTGCCTGAAGCAAGTTTCAAAGGATATACTGGGATTATGAATGAGTCACGAATACTAGTTTTTATTATGGGTGATACACTGTATTTTACTGACAATTTCACTACTATGGTTGAAACCTTCACCAAAGAAACTGTGGAAGTAGGTTCCACAGACTGAAGTAAAAGTAGCAAATCAGCAATTCAGGGTACAAACAGTGTACTATCTTCCCTGCTTTTTGCTGTGATGTAATTTTGTGTTCCTGTACTAATTACCAGGATGCACAGGCATAAACTGGATGATTAGGACCATAATTCAATCAGAGAGAAGTTGCAAACTTGAGCTATCAGTAATAGAATGAGTTCTGTGCAGTAGGAAGGAAAGGCAGAATGTGATAAGAAAGTACTGTCTCAGAGAGAAATAAAGATTACTGTTCCAAACCAGACCGAATGTCACAAATATTCAGTGCCATAATGGATTACTGTATTGAAAAAAAAAAAAATTCCCAGCTCTGCACAATTTGTGATACCTGTGATACCTGACATAGTTTTGCTTCCTTCTGTAGTGCTACAACTAACCAAAAACCCAGTCAAAACTGAGTGACCATTTGTTTACCTAAAAAAAAAAAAGAAAAAAAAGGGCCAGTACCAAGGCCTTCTTTGTAGGAAACTACTGAGAGTAAGTGGACTTCATTTCTGAATATGAAAATCACTCAACAGCAAAGCACATGCAAAACAGCAACTCTGGCAGCTCAGTTTGAAATTAAACAAAGTGTAGTTTTTAAATACTAAACATTTCTGTTAAATCACAATTAGATTTTTCAGAGTGGGAAATACTGTGCACACTTTTACTGATCTGTGAAGCTTGGTTCTCCTGTTCAAATTTGAATGTGAAGCCTGTTTCTTTTCAGAACCATTGCTAAAGAAGCTTGCTTCACATCTCCCCCAAAGTTTGCTCTCCATGCTTCTGTGCCTTTACTGGTTTACCATTACACCATAACGCAAATCCATCTTTTTAAATGGTTATATATTTGCAAGGCATTTTTCAGAAACCTGTAGATGAGAAACATATATGCAGCACTTGAAATGTGTAAATGCTAAAATCAGGTGAAATAATCTTTAAGACTCATTTCTATCATACGCAGAACAATGGGCAATTAAAAGTGGGCAGACAAGCAGAAAAGGGTGATTCTGACAATCAGAAACCTGCTGCTTTGTTTTGCTCTCCTCACATCTCATTCCACTGTCACTAATTTGTATTAAAGTTCTGTGAGATCTAAGGCAAGTAAGAAAGACTTAAGTGTTTAACAAAAAGATTATGGTGTGTTCCTTATGCAGTAGGACAGTTATAACTAATTTTTCCCTACTGCAGTAATGGCTTAAAGCTCTTACCAAGCTTCACAGGTACAGAGACAGCAAACTTCTCCACTACTTCGAACAAAAGTCTCACTTCATGATTTTCCAGTATTTCTGGTGGATGGAAAAGCTTATGTTGCAAACTTGACCTGAGTGGCTTCGTATATACAATCCCTAGTTCTCAACATTTTAATAATACAGGATGATTTGGCACACTTCTTATCTACATGCAAGATGTACTGTCTCCACAAGCTGACAGAGTACATCTGGAACCTGAGAGCTACTTTACAGAAAAAGAAGACTCATCACAACAGATGCAAAACAAATATGAAAAGTGGAGTCCCTCTAAGTCACTATTACTTAACTGTAAAGCATGTATGGGACTTTTAAAAGGCCCAAATTCCTTGGGACTTTTAGTTTTGAGTAAATATGTTTTCCAGAAGACATCTGCTTATATGGTCACCAGAAAGTCTGACCTATATTTGGATTACAAATTTTGTATGAAAATTATGCTCAATGAGCAAACGCATGTGTGAAAATCAGCTAATTTTCACATTTCTAGTTTCTGGATTTCAGACTTTGAAACGCTAATACAGTCCTTAAGACCATATTGCCTTTTGATACATTTTATTTTTCCAGTGAGTATTAAAAGATTATTAAGAGTCTCTGCCACTGTGTACTTTGAAGAAAAAAAAGGAGTGTTGGGCAAAGGATCTATAGAAGGAGGTCAAAATTAATTTTTGTTTTAAAGCAAAAGGACAAAGTAGTGAAATTATACCAAAGGAAACAAAGCTAGTTAAATTTTATTTTCCAAAACTCCAACCTAAATAAGTATGTTAAATAACCATCCAAAAAACAGTGCTCACTGTATTAGCAGATGCACAACTTATTTAATCAAACAAATAACAGTGAAATATTATCAGAATTATTTACATGCATATTTACAATGTGTGTTCTTTATGGTAGGTAACTTCTGGGAATATTTGCATCTGTTCTTGGTAAGTTTTTCTATTCAGTCTAACCAGTATAGGTAACAGGAAACAAACTGAGTTTGGCAATAAAACCAATGGAGCATCCTAGGAAAACTAACATGATTATATGGAGTCCAAAAAAGAGCAGTTGGCTTCAGAATGTTAACATTTATGAAATAAATGAATTTACTCCAATTACAAAATTAAATCAAACTACATAAGATTAGAAGAATAAAGGAAGTTACAAGCATTGCCAGAAGGTTAGACATGTTAGATACATTATTGAAAACAAAAAAAAAAAGAAAAAAGAGCACTGCATGTACGCTCGAGAAGCATGGATTCAAACATAACCACATTATTGTAGTCTCGAAGAACACTACAGATTACAGCATGGTTTTTGCTTGTAAATTTGAAAATGAGCTTATCTGAACCAAAGATCTTGAAAGCACCTCACTTCCAAAATACTGCTTGCTTTTTCACATATCAACATATAACATTTATTCCAGGGGGGAAAAAATAAAGTCCAGACCTCACCCATACATGTTTTAGAAGAGTAATAAAACAGAAATAAACAAAACAAAAATCCATACACAAAACAAAACTCTCACAAACCACTTCTCATGATTGTGATCTACAAAAAAAATTCATTTTTTCCTTATTTCAGTCACACTCTTGTTGGGGGGAAGGGAAGGAATCAAATACAACATATACGGTATATGGTAAATAGAATGAGTATATCCCCAATATATACTAAAGCAAACAAGCAAGCAAATTCAGATCATTATTCTTTCCCTTTCTCCCTCAAGGGAAATTTTATGGGGCAATTCCCCATTAAACTTTAATTTCAATTATAACTTCTAAATAATTTTTATTGCAGCCAAAACATTGTTCAAAAAACATTATTCATAAAATAAACTATGATATATACACAACATTTTAAGTTACAGGGCATAAGTTTACAATTTTTGGCAGATTCTGTTAAACAAAATGGAAATTGTATAACTTTAGTACTTGAAGAAACTAAAGTTCCTCATTTTGGTACAAATGTTTTGTGTCCCCCTGTATTCTAACTATACCTAAACAGTTTTAATAAACTAACATTAATATGTAACATCTCACTGTTTTCTCTCATGTTCTGATTCTAGACAGAATTTTTCATATGCTTCTTCAATTTCTGGATCCATCTCATCATCAATCTCATCAAAATACCTAAAGAAAACAAAAATCACCAAAGGTGTTAAGTTTACATACAGATTTTGAAAACCATTTGTGTAGATGTCAAGAATAAAACAAAGCTTTATAAATGACAGTATTTATGAGATTATTTTTAAGGGGGGATGAAGAAGAAAAAATAATGGGTACTAGGAAAACAAATAAACAGAAACCTCAAAGCAGCATAGATGTGTACAAATATCTACAGTGTTTGTCACCTTTTTAGATCTTCTGCTGCCCAGTTTAAAAGACAGAATTAGTTCCCAATATGATAGAAAACACAATCATGCAATCCAAACTTCCCAAAATTTACTAATGCATCTATACTGATATATTTACAAAAAACATAATTACCAACATATTAGCATGGTCAACTTGCTAGCTCAAGGAATATGTTCATATAGAAACCCTGTGCTCCTGTTTGTTCATATTTAAAAGGAGGCTCCCTATTGCACCTGCGTTATACTACCTTGTATTACAGGGTAGCTGGACTTTTAGAAAAGATCAGTCTTATTTAGGTCAAAGGAAAGACTGGATCCCATTAATTATGTAAGTATTGCACACAATGAAGACTACTACAGCATTTCAAAATAAAGCCAGGGAGTGATGGGCATCCCTTCAGCTTTCTTTCCCCCACAGTATATTGGGAAGTAACTTGTGTGCTCCCGGTTTTCTCCATATCCAACTCTAATGTCTTAACCATAGACTAGGACAATAGAGTTGTAGCTTGAACATGATAGTGTATGTAATTCTAAACAGCCTTAAAAAATTGAGTCAGCAGCTACTGACTCTCCAGAAGTGCGCATTAATTTCAGGTGCTCAGTTTACCACTTTCTGT